GTGCCGTAGCTGACGGTCGGCTCTGCTGCCCCTCGGCTGGGCTCTGCCAGGGGCAGAGTAAGGGGAGTGAGCAGTATTGCAGTGCTTTTTCAAATGCTGCATTTGGCTTTTTCTGCTTATTTAGTTCTATGAAACTTGCTTTTTTCTGATTTGCTGAGTACTTGGCAGTCGCTATTTACTTGTTTTCTTCATTGATTTTTTTTTTTTTTTTTTAAAGTTACTCAACATCATCTTCTTTCTCTGTATAAGAGTTCCCAGTCAGCGTAATCATCTAATGCTGCTGCACTTGCTGCAGGTGCTGAGTACCCCGTGGGCATCTTCGTCCAGTAAAGGAGACTCGGAGTCCAGACTTCCAGAGCCTGTTCCTGGCTCAGCTGCTCGTGGGTCCGGGGCTCTCGGGCCAGGCAGGGGAGTCAGGGCTGAGGGCTCTGTGACTGTCTTGGCAGAGCAAAGTCTCGTCCTGTTGCACAGCTCGTGTCCGGGCTGTCGCAGGACGTAGCTGGGGGATGTGGGGCTGGAGAAGGAAAAAGCTGCTGCTGGACTGTACTTACTCCACTGTCACCTCATCCTGGCCTTGCCTGAGCGAGAGAGAATTTGGCAGAGCTAAATTTAGCTCTGCCGAATTTAGTCCCGCGGTGCGAACGTTGGCCGTTGCTCGCGTGGCCCCTGCGATGCCCTGGGAGCCGTCGCGGGGCTGCGGGGCTGGCGCCAGCAGTGCCAGTTTGCCCTTTGGCGCTTGGCCGTGGTGGGATTTACCAGCTTGAGCCCTGACTTTTCCTCGTAAAATCTTCTGAACACTTTGAGCGAAGCCACTTCAGTAACTCAGTTACCGTCTTCGGTTGTTACTCCAGTGAGATTCCCTGAAGCGTGTTTTGAGGAACCCACGCTGTACCTCAGACGTTCTTAAAATGACAAGATTTTATCTGACTGAAGAAATCGCCCATCCAAGGAATGAATATGAATAAACAACATTTTAGAAATTAATGAGTTTTATTATTTGTACATTAATAGTATTCCAGCATATCCAAAATCTTGATGAGACCAGAATACTCTCAAGATAATTAATATCTCATAAAGATCATTAATGCCATATGATGTTTAGGTCAGAGCTCAAAGCCGGAATGTTATTGTAGATCTGGGGGAAATTAACATTTTTGGTCACATGTGGTAGATGTGACCTTCAAGTCTCATCAGATCGAGAGGGCTTCATGTCTGACACGTGAGGATTTTCCCCTTCTCTCTCCTGACAGTTACAGTTCTTTAGGTTTTGAGTGATTACTTAATCGGTAATTGGTTTGGAATTGAATCATAAATTTTACCATGATAACTCAATGATAATATATTGGCTTAAATGTGGCAAGAAAATATATCAGATATTCACCCTAACAGATAGCTGGTTAAAAAAAAGTCATTTAATTAACAGATTCAGTAGAAAGACAGCTAAATTGCATGCTTATTTATTTGGATACAAATCCTCTAGGCAGCTGTGGGATCCATGTGTGTCATCAAGGAGAACTTGTCTTTAAGAGAGTGACTTTCAACAGCGATCAAAGAAGCCATAATTCTCTTTTACAGAAGAGCTTCCAAGTTTCTCACCAAATTCTCTGTATCCGAGAACATTGTTTTCAGATGTGTTTGAACACCCAATGCCCATCAAAACAAAAGAGCTAAACAAAAAGCTGGGTGAGGTGTGGCCTTTGAGGAAATGGACTAATGGGATAGTTTACTGAAAGGTGTATTTGACCTATTCCACCTTTATTAACTGATTTCTAAGAAATCAGTGGGGACTGAATTTTGTGGACCTTGGTCAGATTGTCAGTGGGAGAGTTTTTCCCACTGTGGGCACAAAAACCTGTCTGGAACACCTGCGGGGCACTGTGGCTGTACCAGTAGTGTCAGGGCTTTGATGTTTTGGACTGGGATGTGAGTGATTTTGAGTCTTTTGCAGCTAAATTAGATTGGCCAAGTGACAGGACTCAAGTTCTGAATTGCTGGTTTCTTGTCTAAAGAGCAGTTTTGAAGCCTTAGAAATTCACATGGATGGAGCAGCCGGGGAGCTGCGTGGAGCAGCGCTCGTCTGCTGTGCATCTTCCGTGGTACTTCGCTGTAAGTTCTGTTCTTTAAAGCTGTTGCTAAGTGGTACTTCTGGGACCTTTGTGTTTGTAATTCAGTGTCGAGATGGTGCAGCACCACGTCAACAGTAACGTAGCCGTGCGTTGCTTCTCTTCAGGCGGTGTTACCCGTCAGGAGTACGGCTGTGCCCGGCTCGAATGCTGTTGCAGGAACTCTTACTGAGAAGATCAAGATGCAAAACTGCTGTACCCTCTGGCAGAGCAAGGTGTAGGGGTCCCACGCAGTCTGTCAAGCGATGCATCTCTTGTGCCACCAGAAGTCCATTTGTGAACGTTCAAGGATGGAGGTTCACGTGGGCTTCCACAGCAGCAAACAGGAGATGAAACAGGCTGGATTTGTAATGGGAAACTTTGAAGAAGCTGGAAATACACTGAAGTGTGAAAGGATGCTGAAAAGACCATTCTACTGGAGTCTTCTTTTCTTGGAAATAGAAGATGTGCTCAGAAGATTCTCTTGGAAATAGAAGATGACTTGTGCTCAGAAGAACATAGAGTTTTACAGGACAGAGGATGAAAGTGTGTAAGGACAGGGAAGAGTGTCTGCCTGAAGGAGAGAGCTTCTGGCATGTCAAGGGTTGGAAGATTTAATGCATTTGCTGTGTAAAGACAGGGTAGGCCTCTTGCCATTTCATCCTGGTTAGAAGATGTCTGTGTTCAAAGGAAGGGATGTGCTCGACGCGTCGTTGAGGTTAGCTAATGACAAATCCTCGCAAGTGCCAGCTCTGCTGTAAGAACAGGTTAGGCTTCTGAGAGATACGTGAAATTAAAGGAGATTGTGTCTCCCAGAAGCAGATAACAGAGCAAACAGTGTGTAAACACCAATGCTGTGAGATGATAAAGTACTCACAAATAATTCTGCAGCTTGAAACTGGTGGAAATGAAGCTCAGAGGGGAGTTATTTGAAGTCCTAGCCAGGTCCATTTGGCCTGCAAGCAGAGATGTACATAAAGGATGTTACTGGACATCACCAAATGCAGCAAATGCATAGAAGCTCAGAGCAGCTGGTGGAGGCTTTATGGGCAGTGCAGAGGTCTGGGACCACAGCCATGGTCTGTCAGCTTGGCAGCAGGGCTTCGAGGAGATAGAGGCTTGAGGGATACGTATATGTGAGAAGATGCAGAGAACTATTGGCCCTTTAGACTTTGGCTCTGTAGTTGTCGCCAAGGAAGCTTGGTGTGGTAGATAGGAAGAAATGTTTGGTGCCTGTCTTCCTGGGGCTGCTGGACGGTGGCTGCTTTGGTGGTCTCTCAAGAGAGTTGAGTTTCCATGTGGTCGCAGGGATGTGATAAGGAAAAGGGGGCATTTGCACCACTGGAAATGTCACTGCTGTGAGTGTGCTCCTTCAAAACCTGGCTATGAAGTCCCAATGGCCAGAGAAAGTCACACAAATGCTGCAGAAAGATCCCTTGGAGCGATACTGGAAGCACGAGAGGTAAGAGGAGGGCCCAGCAGCACTTCACTGGCCGTCTCCAGCTTCGGCAGCCCCAGCCTGTTCTCTCCAGCTGGGGAGCAAGTGCAGTGAGCACCTCAGTGCCTCCAGCCAGGCTGTCAGCTACTGCCCTTACTGCTGCCAGGACTGTGGTGTGTATACTTGGCCCCAAATTCTTCACAGCATGGTCTTCAGAAGCAACAGGACACAAAGGGGAAGGTCCAAAGCCAGCCTGTTGGGCCTGATGTTCTGCTGAAAGCAAGGAATGGGTTGTTACTGTCACAGGCTTTGGGTTGAATCTGGAGGAATGCCAAGTGGTTGCAATTTATCCTTAGTTCATCTAAGGATTTGCATGTTCGCCGTCGTGGAACTTGATGGTTTAAAGTGTGGCATGCATGGGGCCCATTATCTAGTGTCTTCTGGTGTGGAAGAGGAGAAGTAATTGGAATTTGCTTCCACGATTATTGCTGTGACATACAGAGTTGCCCTGTTTTTTGCTAGCCTTAGGAGCTGTTGCTTCATGCTTGGGTAAAGCTATTTACTTTTAAAAAAATTAAAATCCACTAGCATCTTTCCTAACTCCCCCTCTCGCCCCAAACCACAGTCTGCAGTGTGCTGGTCAAGACATAATCCTGTTCCTTTCCCTGTAGGTGACGACTTCATCAGGAAGTAAGTGCTTCTCGTGTCGTTCTGCAGCAGAGCGAGATAAATGGATGGAAAACCTGCGGCGTGCCGTGCACCCAAATAAGGTAGTGGCTGTGAGGAATTGCCTCTGTTACAGTTCAGTTCCTCATTATTACATTTTATAGCCCAGTGCATAGTAGCAGCAGGGGACGTATTGTCATTTTAGTGAGTAAGTGTAACTGTGGGTCAGCCTTTTTCCATACTGCTTTCTTCCACAATTGTATTTACAGGCAAGTGCCAATTATTTCTTCTCCTCTTTTCTCAGCACATGCTGCTTCAGCTGTTGCCGAGAATTGATCAGACCCAAAGAATCTTGAGTCTTGCTCTGTTACTGATACTTGCCACTTACGTAGGACTTGCCACCTCCCAAAAGCTCTGGGACTGGTAGCTGCCAGCAAAGTTACAAGACTGAATAGTCTAAGGAGTTCACATATCACACTTCCTGACTCTGGCAATCCTTACCGTGTCTGCTTTAGCGATGGAGAAACTCAAATGCCCATCGCAGCGAGTTCTCTGAGGCGATGGTGGAATGTAGCTTTCCCTTCTCCAGTGAGTTGAGGTGGCAAAATCATCCCCACTGGGATCTACAGAAACAAATCCTTCAATTCACCAGAACACAGGGACACCCAATATGTGGTGTTATGGCCCACTGGGACTAAGTACATCCTAACATAAGGTCTACAGCTGCTTTTCCCTCCCTGCACTAGAGTTAGCCAACAAAGATTGATCAGGACTAATAAGCTGCAGGATTTCACAACTGATGAGCTCAATCAACAAGGCTTTTTCTGCTGATCAGAGAAGACACAAACGATGGGGTCCTGTGAATTCATGCCTGGCATCAGAGACACATAACTGTACATACCAGTTAGGTCCAGACCTGGCGGGTTGCTCAAACAACAATTTGTCGAGCGCAGTGCCAAATGGCAGTGTAAAAGATTTCCTTCAATATCAGAACAGGAGCAGCGGAGTGGGGAGGTGGGCTTCTACCTCCAGCAGCGCGTTCCTGCGTGTGGAGTTCAGTGACTCCAGTGCTTTCCGAGTGCAGCAGCCTGGTAGTCATGATCTGAAAGAGCTGTGTAAGGTTTGTGTAGTCACACTCACCATAAGAAAAGTCCCAGGACTGTGAGTTGGGGCTGGGCACGTCACTATGGCTTTGAGATGCAGTGTTCAGTGGAAATTTGGAAGTGTGCCCACATCTCAAAACATGAGATGAACTGATGGCTAACTTTCTGTCTTTGTTTGGGTTTGTAGACAATATAACTCCCAGTATCTAACTTGATATTTCTGTCAGGAATTCAGTGTTCTTGTATAGTTCCTGTGTGTACTTCCTGAACCTACAGTACCCCATTGTGGACTTCCAGCAGAAATGTTCCTGCCCAGACTCCGCGGCTGAGCAGAATAAGCCGTGGTTGCTGGTTCAGTGAGGGCTTTCCAACCAAAACAAGTTACTGCAGAATCCCTAGCAGCCGTTTAGCGGCCAGTGATTTACCTTTTGAGTCACTCCTGCAACAGCTGCCCCTGGATGTTCTTCCAGGATGAGGTCAGCATCCCTGGGGAGCTCTTAAAGATCCACAATATCCTTTGCTCCGTTATTGTTTAAAAGCTATCCAAGCCAAATTTCTATTTCTGAATTGTAACGATTCTCCCATGGAACTCACTCTTGTCTCCCATGATTCCTCTCGATGTTTTAGTTGGGTGCTCTGGACTTCTGCCCTAGAATATCGTGAGGTTTTGTAAATGCTTCTTGCCCTGCCTGAGGTGGTTGCGTTCCAGCCATGGATGAGGTGATCCCTGGGCATGCGTTCAGATCCCTTTATTGTTGCTCCGTTACAGTAAAGAAAACGTACTGCAGTGCTGCTGTAAAGCAGCTGTGCTAAAAAGGGAGGTGGTGTGAGATACCTGTAACATAGCTTCTGTTTTGCAAAAGCCATTAATGATCGGTGAGGTTCTTTCGGTTTCTTCGGAGGCCCTCTTGGCAGCGAATGGGAAATGGTACATTTATGATTTGGAAGGGTTTTATCTGCCTTGTTCCTTATATTAATTGGCACCAACAGACATGGAGAGCACAGTGATATTTGGGAAATTAACATAAGTAGTGTTATTATGCAAATTCCTGAGAGCCAGTATTTCCTTAAAATAAAATGTAATTAAGCCTCTGCTCATTTGGCACATCCGAAATAATTAACTCGTATCTCCAGTTTGGTTGTGCTTGGCTTTGTGGGTTTTTTGTTGACCTTTTTTTCTTTGCATCTTTTTTTCAGGACAACAGCAGAAGGGTAGAGAATATGTTAAAGTTATGGATTATTGAAGCCAAGGACCTGCCAGCTAAGAAAAAGTACTTGTGTGAATTATGCCTGGATGATGTTCTTTATGCACGAACTACCTGTAAATTGAAAACTGATAATGTATTTTGGGGGGAGCACTTTGAATTTAATAACCTCCCATCGCTCAAAAACATTACGGTGCACTTATACAAAGAGACTGACAAGAAGAAAAAGAAGGACAAGACCAATTTCATTGGACAAGTGAACATCCCTGTCAACTCTGTCACGGGCCGGCAGTTTGTAGAGAAATGGTACCCAGTGGTCAGCCCCAACCCCAGTAAGGGCAAGTCCCCGGGGCCCATGATCCGCATCAAGTCGCGCTACCAGAGTATGAGCATTCTTCCCATGGAGATGTACAAAGAGTTTGCTGAGTACATCACTAACAACTACATGGTGCTGTGCTCCGTGCTGGAGCCCTCGCTGAGCGTGAAGAACAAGGAGGAGATGGCGTCTGCACTGGTGCACATCCTGCAGAGCACGGGCAAGGCCAAGGTAAGACCCTTCGTCATCTGTACCGTCCCACCGGAAACCGTCAGGAGCAGACTCCTGGGTTGGGTTTGGGAAATCACTGCATCAGTTGGGCTTCAGGGCTGGCCATTATTAATACACTCTAGTTTTGCATTTAATGACAAACTAGGTGGTAGCATGTGCAGTGCAAATTGCTTAATTAGCAGAGAGGTTGGTGGGACCGCAAGATACCAACCAAGTCCTCCTTCTCTCCTCCTGGAGGCCCAGGGGCCAGGCTCTTGCTTTGTAAACAGGCACAAATGTGAAAGTAAGCAAGAGGGCAGTTTTCAGGGATGAAATGTAACCTCAACAGCCCCTGTGTGCTGGGTATTCCTGTGGAAACCCGGTGGGTTCCCCACTCCACTCCCTCCCTGTCACCATCCTGCTGCGCCGAGCACCCGGCATCGCAGGAGCCAAACAGGACTGAGCAGCCTCTGGAGAATTTCAGAGCCAAGTCCGCCTGTGGGCACGCGTGTCGGTGAATCGGCTCTCCGTCTTTGGAGTCTGTCCTGATGCTTTTGGAAGGGAGGTGTGAAGCGGGGCAGCAGTGTGGGAAGGTCCTGGGGTGCTCCCAGGGCAGGGCTTGTTGGGGGGTTGATGCCGGCCAAGTGACGAGTGGTGGGAGTTCAGGTGTTGTGGACCACTTTGTCTGAACGTCCTTCATGGCTGGGAGTCCCTCGCCAGGTCTGGGGAAGAAACAGGACAGGAGGAGGCAGAGAGTGGGATTTATTCCTGGTTGGGATCTGTGAGGGTACAGGCAGGGTGAGCAGAGCTGGAAGCTCCCGTATGGCAGAGCACAGGTGAGCACTGGGGTCCCTGGGCACGTGGGGCATGGAGTTACGGTGGCCGTCTGCTGCAGAGCATCCCTCGTCCCCACTGGCACAGCACAGCTGTGGTGGGCAGTGCTGGTGTCGGCAGTGCTGGAGGTGAAGCATCAGCATTTTCCTCCATTAACATCTCCCTGAACTCTGCAGGGGAAACTGAGGAAGAGCAAGATTTCCAAAGCTTTTCCAGCAGTGCCAAGGAGACGTGAGCTCCTCACCTGGGAGGGAATCGCAAGACTCAGCTTCTTCCGCTGCTGCCTGGCACCGTGGCAGGGTTGGTGGGTTAGAATGGGTTACCATCTGGCCAACAGAGCAGTGGCTTGGCCTCCTGATCCAGTTCAAGGCAGGCAAAGCTCACCGAGAGGATTGCGGGGCCGTGGGCCTGCTGTCGCAGAGCCAGGGAACAGAGCTCCATTAAAGCCTCCGTGATCTCAGGCAGCGGTGCCAGAGCCCAGGGGCACCGGGAAGGGTGGCAGTACCGGTCCCCTTGGCTGCATTAACCCTCAGTGGGCACAGAAGTGGCCCGTGGTTCACAATGTGTGAAATAATGCTCAGTGGTCACACAGGGAGAGCATCATGGGTTGTCCTCATCCTCGCTCCTTCGGGCCTTCAGCGCCGTCAGCACGTGGTTTCCGGGCACAGCTCTGCCTTCTGCGGGTACCTCCTCCCGGCGCACCGGGGCTGTGCCCGCCTCGCTGTGGCTCTGCTGGCGCTGGTGCCGGGGCTTTCATTGGAATGATGTTGCCGTGAAAGGCCCTGTCCGTGGCTGACATGCTTCTGGTGCAAAAGGCTTCAAGTGTCACCCCGATCTCAGCCACCAAGGATGATGTGCGGGCATGGCTGAGAGCTGTTGTCGCAGCTCCTGCCTTTTCCTTCTTCTTGTCGGTGCTGGAGAGGCTCCAGAGAGAGCAAGTGTGTTTCTAGACATGTGTCTGCATCAGTGCTCCGGATCCCAGAGGCTCTACACGGGGGACAGAGCAAACAGTAAACAGACTTGACGAATTTCCCTCTAAAATGGAGCTTCTGCTTTCCCTGCCTGTCATCTGCCATCAGCATTAGCACAGGGTTTAGGGAGCCGTCGGAGCAACAGGAGTTCCTGGAGCACGGGAAGCGGCAGTGCATCCTGTGTAGAGGAGGTGGACGAGCAGAGAAAGGGGAAAGCAGCAATAAGGTTAAAAAAAACCTGAATGGGAGAGGAAAACACCCCCTTGCCCCAGTTTGTATGACACGGGTACACTCCGCTGCCGCGCAGGAACGCTCCCCTGGGGCTGAGCACCGCGACCCAGCGAGGAGATGCAGGGCCCCGCAGGCTTGTGCCCACGGGGATGCTCTGCTGGCGTTAGGATTATGATTGGACTTGATGATCTTAAAGGTCTTTTCCAACCTAAACAATTCCATGATTCCATGTGTTGCGGTCCCTGCCCTCTGTGGGACAGCTCCTCTCGACCTGCTCCAGGGAGAAGGGCCAGGCAGGATGAGTCCAGGTGCTTGAAGCAGTCTGATTGCCGTGCTGCCAGCTCTCGCTCTGCCCGGGCATCGCCTGGCTGCCC